TCGGTTGATTTTTACGGAAGTTACAGGCATTTGAAGATAAAACTTGCAAAAAAACATGGCTGTCCACAGGATGCCTTAAAAAATCTAAAAAAATTTAGGAAGTCATATTTTTCCACATACAACCACAGGAAAAATCGGCAATATGATTAGCGATGGTGAGGGTTTTGATCTGGGTGAATTCACATGGAATACCCCATATCCTTTTTCATAAAGTTGATAGACAATAAATTTGTGTTTAGATTGTTAACTTTTTATTCGCCTTGCGATTGGTTGATGGATCAATCAATGATTTCCATGACTACGAGGATGTTATTGTGCGTTACAGCGCTCACTTGAAGATGGTCGCGCGCGACAGCGCGCATGATTGCCTAATATATATATATTGTGGCGTAATTTTGGCAGACTCACGGCATGTCCTGCGTTACGCAGTCCTCTAGTACCAACAAACCCTAAACCGAAGTTGGACGCCAGGTCGTTAATTTCGGAACGACCAACGAGCCAAAGCTTCTCCGATAACAGCTCTCAAATGCACCAGGTAGCTCATCCTTGGAGATAGGTTGAACCCTACAGCTGAAATCGGGATATGACTAGGGAAGAATTAACTGAATAAAAAAAAACATACCATTGACGGGGAATAAGACACAACTTTAATACTGCTAGGCTTAATATAAAAATAAAATGATAAATAACTCGATTGAAAACCCCCTTTGTGACTCGATATAATGACTAATAAGACTCGATACAAAATAAACCACTTTCGTCAAGAAATAAAATGTTCTGAAGCTAGATATAAAGTTATAAGTGAAATAATCCCGCAGCTGGACTGGAAATTCCAACTGGCGGGGTCAATGATTATTAGTCCAAAATAAATGAAAATAGAAAACCGAAAAATTGAAATAAAATTACAGAACCGAGAAATTGTCAAGAAATTTCAGTGACTAGACACATCGAAGTCTTAAATATCGATCGCCTGTGAGACGAGTGTACGCTGGCAACTAACAGAAACCAAAACAAAGAATACGAAACTGGCCAGCGATACAATATCAAGGTCACGAGACCACCGTAATTAGATTGAATATAAAATGTTCACGATGACGAGAGCGCACGTTTCCACAAAATCAAATGCTTGCGATATTGATGCCTAGAGCTAATTGTTAACAAAAAAATGAATAATAACTGAACGCGACATTAACACCGGAAAATCACGCAACAATTGCAGATGCCTCGTAAATGGACGAACGAACGAACGAAACGAGAGAGAGAGGCGCCCAGAGAGAAATAATCAACGACCAAATCACTGAACGGAGTGGCCAGGCTTCCCCTAGGATTCTATCTCCTAGTTCTTACAGTCCTACAGGACTCTGATGCCTGTGACATCAACAAAAGAGGAAAACTGCCCACTCAAAATAATCACAAGAGGAGAAAGACAATGAACCAGTCACCACGCTCACCGAGACGACTCAACTGCAATAAGTCCTAGCTGCTCGGCTCGATCAAACTCCCAGGGATCTCCCGAATAATCCAACAGACTCCCTTAAAGCCCACGATCTCCTCCATTCTCCAGTTCCTCGAATTGCCGCCACAAAGTCCTCCGAGACCAGTCTCAATAACAGAAATTCTCCTCGGAGTTCCTCTTTAACCTCTCGAGGCAATCACCACACGGGAAATATCGGTTGAAGAAACGAGACACTCCGGCAATGGCTTCCGAAGCGCGGCAACGGCTTCCGAAGCGCGGCAGCGATTCCCATTGGTCCTCGTCTTGAAAGTCCAACTAATGACGATATTCATCGGTCCGTGACGCATGCGCAGAGTCCGAACTGCACTATTCGGCCAGGGTTTTCCTCACTTAACAATTGCATAAAATAAACCTTGAGATCCCAAAAACCATAATTTTAAATGGCCGATCCCGTCGTACCATCATAACTTGTAACCAACGTCGATTCATACAACTGGCGAAAATTCCTCTCCAGCACCAAATCATCTCTCGCTACCCACTGCGTCACTTCCTCCTCATTTGAGTTCAGGAGTTGGTGCCCTCACTCGGCAGGACACTCGTACAGGCCCGTTTGTGGTCACTGAAGGTGAAGGCTCTCGAGGACTTATTCGCAATAATCCGGAGATACCCGGAGCTCCTCGGTCCCCCGATGTCCCTCGACGAGTGTCTCCTCCGTCATAAGCGTGGCAGCGGAATATTAAAAAAAACATCACAAAAACGTAAGAAACTAATAATCTCTCTCTCGACTCTCGCCATCGGAGGTGACTTCCCGCCTGGTGGTGCAATCACAGACACGCGGAACGGCCTTCAAAACCCGAAAGGACCTTGTATCGAACATATCACGTTACAATATATATATTCGGCAACTGTAAAACTCCAGCTGTTACGGGCCTATCGACGAATAACCTCATCAGATAAGAGTGTACTTGTATAACAGCACATGATTTTCATTTTTACAGCTCTACCGAGAGGACATCAGTACCCACTGATTTAAAAAAATTCCTTCCCCACCAGAGTACATGCCTATCAGAGAGCGAGTCGACCCGATCACGCCTCATCCCTGTATAACGCCACCTTTTGATAAAGAAACCCACATACAACTGCCACCGCACATCATTACCGCGGTACAGGCTTACCAAATTAAATTTGTACAACTGCACCTTGCGATAAGACATCCTATACCCCCACCGGCAGTCAAGGTTACCTGTTTTTATCCCCACCGGGAATACATCTTCACCGATATGAATAGAAAATAAGCAGTATGACGGAAGCTATTTGACAGATCACTCATGACTGTAACTTTTTGTGTGAATTTTTTTTTCTTCAATTTTAATTTCTACCAATTCCATTGGTAGTATGCTTCCGAATGGAACTCGATCCATGTTTCTTAGAAATGAAAACTTATTGGTTCGTATTTTTGAAAATGTTCTAGCCAATAATACTCAAATTTCATTACTTTTTGATGTACCATAGACTCTGCCCCTTTTACATATGTACATTTTTTCTTCCACCTATTAAAATAGAGAAGCAGCAACATTTTGAAATTTAGTTGACTAATATTACACCTTGAGAGCGAAGTTACTGTTTTAAAAAATTTCAATTATGACTTTTTTTTTGTTTCGTTCTTACGATTCTTCATATAATTCAGGAATTATTCCTTAAAATTACATAATGAGACTATAATTTCTTACTCTATTATCACATAATAATACTCTTTTAAACGTTCATTCTTCTGAAAACAAAATTTCCTTTTTATGTGATATGATCTTTCTAAGTCAGCCTAGAGTGAAAATCAACAACTAAATATAGAGGCGTTGATCCTTTTCTTCTTAAGAATCTTTGATAAATTGTTCTATCTCAGTAACTATTGAATATATTGACCTAAAATTGGATATAGGAATGTTATTTGACAATCCTAACTAGTAGTCAATGTTTCAAAAGGTTTCCCTGATTTTAATCCATGTTATAGTGTTCAAGATTGAATTCTGACCAAAAAAATACAAAAACGGCAATATCTGAAAAGTTTCTATAGAGGGGTATACATATTTTGATTGATGCAGATAGATGACATCAAGACGAACATTTTGAAAAAAAAAATTGAAATCGGTTATATAGTTTTTGAGATATCGAGCAAAACAGTTTCACATAAAAAGTTGAATATCTCCGAAACTACTGATCCGATTTTCCTCATCCAAAATACTAAACTTTGTTATCACAAGACCTGAAATCCTACCAAGTTTGAAGTTTCTATCTCGATTATTTTTTAAGTTATCATGTTTAAAAGCAATTTCAGCGAAAAAATGAAAAAACGAGAATAAAACCACATTGCTTGGGGTGCAATGGTCTTTTTTCGATCCATTTAGATAGGTATTATCACGACGAGTATTTTGAAAAAAAAATCGAATCGGTCGAATGGTTCAGGAGATTTCGGCAAAAAACGATGTTTGAGGAATTGCTGTATCTCAAGAACCGCTCAACCGATCGAGCTGAAATTTAGCCCAGTTTTGAGTATCAATAGTACCATATAGCAGCCAAAATTTCAAGTTCTTTGCGCTAACCGTTCTTGAGTTATGGGGGCAATTGGGGACATACGCACACACATGACCACAGACATACGGACATACAGACATTTTTTTAAAAAAATGTCTTCACGTTTCATGACATTTCTAGGCATTTCCACCCAAAATTAGTAAATCGAAAAAAATTACAATTACATAGCCTCCATTCGGAAGCAAAAATATACATATGTATACTATTACCGACTTTGTAGTTTCTCCCGGCTGCTCCGCTTCACTCCCCTCGTCGCTAAGTTCAAAGCATTTGGTAAGCATAATTATTTCCATTGCGAGAGACAGAAAGAAAGAAAAAATACAGAAAAAAAAGTATCAATAGAAAATAAAAGAGACGTGACCCTGGATGATCCGAATCCTTGTTGAGGTTTAATTTTTAGTTTCCTCCCAATTAATCTACGCTCAGTTCAGGTGAAATCAGTGCATGACATCAATCATGCCACAGTATGTGCTTTTCACCTTTCTGGTTTGTCCCTCGTGATTTCAAAAATGATACCAAACGGCTACGAATTGACCGCCACTGCTCATTTTTCCCTTCACTAATGAGAATAACTATACTAGTCCAGCGCCATGCCATATGGGGCCAGATCTGGAGGGCACTCAAGTGTACTTGAAAATTTCGGCTGAAGAAGGCTACATCGGAACGATATATTATCGACCGTGGGAGCATACTCGTAGCCCCCTTCCGATAAATTTTCAACGTGTAGAATAGTGTCCTCGATTCTACCCCGCTCTCTCGAAATACTTATAATTTTTCATCATGTCTCCGAAGAATTTTTCATTGAAGGACGAAATAAATATTTGTCCAAGATCCATGAATGAAAATATGTATATATGTACAGCTTAATAGACAACAAACACGAACTTTCTAAGAAATACCAATCAACCACAATAACATTCTGATAGCTGAATTGTCATGAAAAAGATAAACTTACCATAAGATTATGTCGAAAATCTTTATTAGCAGGATTAGCGAGACTATCATCATAGCATGCATCGGAGTGTACAAGCCCCAAAAATTCCAGATATGGATGGGCTTTTATAAAATCCTTGAGATCCTTAACTTCAATTTCATCTTTTCCGGATATATCTAAGCTTGTCAAGTACGGCATACAGTGAACAGTGCGAAGTAGATCTGTTATCTTCGATCTCACCGGTGCAAACATTTCAAATGTGTAAGCATCACGTTCATCAGAAATATCGAGATGCCTCAATTCATTTAAATCCAGTAGCACTGATTTCAAATTTCCATAGCCACTTATTTTCAAATTGTACATTGAGAGATTTTTCAATCGATCTTTACACTTTTTTAGGGGTGTTATATCATCCACACGAGTACAAGATATATCGAGACTCTCTAAGAAAGGCAAATCTTCAACAACGATTTCCAATCCATGTTTATTGAATTCCGTACCAGAAACATTGAGTGTTTGAAGGGCTTGTAATTTGCTTAACGCTAGAAACACGCAGACTCTGGAAAAAAAACAGAACAACAATACAAAGTTGAGGAATTGAAACTGTATCATTCATGAAACATTTATGGTAATTCGGTAAGAATGAGTAGAAAAGGAGAATGAGTAGGAATTGAGATCATTCAAGAATTTTAACGGAAATAATCGAGAGAACTGATTAAAAAACTCCCTCAACGTCGAAGAGACGAATCCATTACCAACATATCACACGTTTGGCCACTGCTTGCAATTATTTCGATCACAAGGAATGTCAGGAGACTCAACATTCTGACTCGAGAAAGGAAGTTATTGTATTTTTTGCTTTCACATGGAAGCATTATAATTGTTCAAATTTAAGTTATGGATTTTGACGTGGATACATCTATGGTTTCGTCTTGGGGGGTCACTCGGCGAAAAAATGCTTATGCAGCCGCGCCATCCATTGGCGATGTAAAAGCGTAAATTGAGTTTTCCTTAGTCAGCGGAATTGAGTTTCTTGGGTACAGCGAGAACTGACATTTTCCTGAAGACGAGAGTTAAATCGCCGAGGCAAATTTTTCAATAAACGACTATCGATGGTTTAACGCTAAAGATTTCTCTGGTAGAGTGCTCTCTTCCTCCTCTTTCCTCCCCTCCTTTCTCGTTTTCGAATTCTGGTTCTGCTACTCTGCTACTCCGCTCCCTTTTCTTCTGCTGCTCGAGGCGAAATGGCCCAGGCGGATTGGGTGTACTGTCAATGGTGGGAAGTTAGAAATCTGATTGGCCGATGAGTCGATGGTGGGGAGAAACCTTCTGATTGGCCAATAAGTCGATGGTGGCGTTAAAATGATCCAAGGCCGAAGATCATCATCTTAATCAACTAAGTCTTTTTAGAGCAATTTCTCATACTATAAAGTGATTAGAAAATTCTAACTTTTTTAAATTCTTGAGTATTGCCATGGAATTCGTCAATTAAGCAGGTTCTAATTATGAATCACGAATTTTTCAATTTTGATATTCTTTATGAAATTATTGAGATGTATAGAATTGAATATAACATTAAATTCTTGTGACGAATTACGTTAAAAACGATACTGCCCATGAGAATTTCAGTCCATAGACGTATCGCGGTTAAATCTGACGACTGTATCAAGAATACAGCCGTTTAGAATTTTTTTTATGTTATATCGACCCATTAGGATTCAAAAAGTCCGAAAATGCAATTTTTAGACCGTGTCCGTACGTATGTGTATATTAGGCTGCCACATTGATGACAAATTTTCAAATTTTGCTGTTCCAACATCTGAATCTAATAGTTCAATAAACACCGCCAGCCGTCGCTGTGTGGTTAGAGTATGGGATTGNTATTCTTTATGAAATTATTGAGATGTATAGAATTGAATATAACATTAAATTCTTGTGACGAATTACGTTAAAAACGATACTGCCCATGAGAATTTCAGTCCATAGACGTATCGCGGTTAAATCTGACGACTGTATCAAGAATACAGCCGTTTAGAATTTTTTTTATGTTATATCGACCCATTAGGATTCAAAAAGTCCGAAAATGCAATTTTTAGACCGTGTCCGTACGTATGTGTATATTAGGCTGCCACATTGATGACAAATTTTCAAATTTTGCTGTTCCAACATCTGAATCTAATAGTTCAATAAACACCGCCAGCCGTCGCTGTGTGGTTAGAGTATGGGATTGGCGCGTGAGCGATCCGGGTTCGATACCCGGCTGGGGAGCCAAAATTTGTAACACTGTAATCTCACAGTTTCACTGTCGAGCGGGAGTCTCGTTAAAGGGACGGCTGTACCTGGGCAGCTTTTTCCCTCAAGTGAGGTTCTCCCTCGTCCTTCGGCGAATGCGGTACAGGGGGTTGGGGGGTGGGAAGGGAACAAATCGTGAAAACCCGAAAGGGTATACGAGAGAAAATAATTCTAAAATTTTTACTTCAATAAATAAGACAACGATGGGAATTTTTGTCAATTTTCAAACCCATTTTTTGAGTAAGCACAGGGCTTTCAAAATTCCTTATGAAGATATTCATCTAAGGGAGTTAACCAAATTTATAATTATCATTATGTCACGAACCTATCACTATAATGATCACTATAGATCACAAAATTCGTACTGAAGCGTCAAAGAATAGTCACAATATTTGTTCCTATTTTTCACATAATTTTTTATTGAATTGAAAAGTATGATTTTTGCTGAAAATAGGCATTTTCAAAGATGTTTTAAGGTCATTTAGGAAGGACGTCATTCTTTGAGATTTGGATATATGATTCTTCAATTAGTCTGTCATCTCCTTAAAAAAAAACGAAGTATTCATGTTTATTTCAAGTCAATGAAAAAAGTGATAGAAAATTTCCAAATTTGTTGGCAGCGTCAGGTGCTTGGATTATCCGGTGTCTTTATGTGCCGGCCATATACTGAAATGGAGGAGTTTGGCCAGCTGGCCATATTTTCCCTCGGACGGGACTAACTTTTATTACACCCGACGAATGACAGTGTACCTTCTTGTTTTTCATAGAAAAATTTTCCAATTTTTCATCATTTCCTTAAAAGATTTGGCGTGTGTAGTTTTCCCATTCCATAAAGATGTAATTTTTTTTTTAACAAAGTTTGATTCATCGTCATATCTCAATTTGGGATGGAGTAATTTACACAGGAATACAACTGATATTTTAAGCCTTAAAATGAGCACACTGTAGCTTCAACCATTTTTAGTCATCAAATTTATTAATTAAATTGCATGAGAAAAATTTGAAAAAAAATCATTAATATTCAGCATCATCAAAATTACCTTTTCCACCGAATTATTATTATTTTAAACATTCTTTGTTTATAAATAAATAATTGAAATTCTTTAAACTTTTGGAAACCTGTCTTTTAGGCACGAAAACGATTTCTGGTAAAATTCGTAATATGAATAAATTTGCTACGATTCCGAACAAATGATTTCATTGGTGGTCAATTGATTGTTTATAAATTATTTATAGAAAATGCTCGTCTCTTTCAAAAATTGTAATTTTTCAATTCCTTCATCAATCTTCCTCCAAAAATGAACTTTCCAATTTCATTATATATTCTTTATTCCATTTTATGGACTTTGTTCGGCTTCCGTCACCATTAAAACCTCATACATAATTGTCCTTAACCTAATTCTCCCTTTCGTACACCTATTCATTTCCCTATTGCTTGCTCTTCACCATCCTCTCTCCTCTCCCTCTTTCCTCTCCTCTCAACCGCTTGACATTTACTCAACTTAACTTAACTTAAAATAGCTATTTAAGTCTCTTTTTTTTAAGTCCCTCTTTCTCCTCTTTTCTCAACTCTTTCCTCACGAGTGGGGGGGGGGTCCGCTTCCGGGTCTGTGGCGACTGTTCTTTCACTTTCCTCCTAATATCCTTCCCTCACGATCCATCCCATTCCTTCCCTCCTTCCCTCTCTTCTTCTTTCCAAACCCCTTAGCCAACTCACCCCCCTTCCATTCTCATCCAGCACCTCACGGATCTTCTTCTCCAGCGCCCTATTCCTTTCCAACTACGGCTCTTCCGTGCACCTCTCAGACACATGTCCCCACGTCTCCACTTCCCCCATACACTCTGCATACTCTCTCTGACTCATCCCTCCAATATTCCGACTCCAGCACTCCTCCCCCCACTCTGAACTTAAACATTCTTTGCCATTTTTCCTTCTTTTTCATGAACTCCAGATACAACGGGACACCGTCCGTCCATCTAACGAACTTATACCACTTGTTGTATCTGGACTCCATTATTTTTCCCCACCTCACCTCTCTTTCCTGCGCTACCATCTCTCTTTCTATTTCTCCCCACTTATCCCTCTCTCTCATCCTCCATTCGTCCCTAACTCTCTTCCTCACTCTTTTCCACCCACTCAACTGGCTTCCATTCACACACTCCCTCCTCTCCAGTTCCTTCATTCTTTGGCCAACACATTCCCATCCTCATTCTTCAACTTCCACTCAAATTTCCACGCTCTTTCTCTCATCTTCGCCATTAGACTGTTCCGACACACCTCTTCTCTTAATATGTACCCAGGACATTGCCTGATCACTTCGAACACTCACTTCACGTATTTTTCCTTCAATTCTTCCATCCTCCTGCAACCATTCCATCCCCACATTTCCACCCCATAGCCCATCGTCGACCAGACCAGCTTATCAAACAACCCTAGTCTCCGCCTCCAATCATTCCTAAACCTGTTTTCACCGATCGCCCATACTTTCCCCATTCTTCCTGCCGCTTCCGCTCTCATTTTCATGTGTAGCTCATCGCTACCATTCATCGCCAGCCAATACCCCAACTAACAAAACTCATTTACTTCTTCCACCTCCTACCCATTCACTCTCCATACTCTCTCCTCCATCCCTTTTTTCCTCCTTCTTCCAAACTCCATCATCTTTGTCTTCCTCACATTCATTACCAGATCCTTTTCCTCAACATACTGCTCAAATTCCGTCATCATCAGCCTCATCCCCCTCTCCGTATCCGCCAGCAGCACTATATCGTCTGCGTAGGTCAGACGGTACACCCTCCTTCTCCCCAGAATCACCCCACCCTTCCCTCTTCTCTGCATCCGTTCTTCCAGGTCCGACAGTAGCAAACTGAATAGAATCGGGCTGAGCGGGCATTTCTGCCTCAGGCCTCTGCCTGTCCAGAACTCCTCACCTACTTCCCCCTCCCGCCTTGACCCTACCTATTTTTTCTCCCTGAACGCTTCCTTAATTCTCTCTATCCCTCTCCGTTCCATTGTGTCCCACAACACCGCCCTGTTCACGCTGTCAAAGGCCGCCTTAAAATCAACAAACAGGACGAACAAGCTTCCCCCCTTCTCCTTTACCGCTCTGTTTATAAAAAACTTGAGCACGAAAATGTCCTCCACCGTGTCCATCCCTTTCCTAAACCCCGCTTGATTATGGGGGATTAACCCTTTTGCCTCCGTCTCCTCCTCCAACCTTCTTCTCAACATCTCCATATATATTTTATACGACGTCGGCATCAGGG